TGCTTGAGCCACATCCCTAGCCCCATAGGGTTGATTTTTGAAATCCTTCCTTTGCCCTTAGAAAGTTTTCAGTGGTTATCTAAAGACACCCTACAATTGGAAGGCTGAGAAACTGTGTCAGCATAAAAATAAATAATATTTTTAGTAGAAAAATAGACTTTGGAAAACCCTTCCATACTACTGTCTATTATGGAATTCTAAACTTCTGATTTACTATTATAAATAGAATATATTTTTTGCAAGGAAAAGGGAATTGTCTTTATCTTTGGCCAGCATGTCTCCCAAAATAGCTAAGAAGGTAAGTTTTAGAATTGTCTTTTTTGGAGTCTTATTACTATGTATATATAGGTAGGGCTTTAGTTATATAGTTTTCTTGGGTGCACTGGAGGGATTAGATTAGAAAAAAACCAGAGCAATGAAATTAATGATACTTTTAACAGTGTATTTTGGGTTTTTTTTGTATTTATAATTCAAACTAAGATTTGTTTTTAAGAAGAGAAAAACTTGTGATAAATGTCACATTAAACAATACAATAATGTAATACAGATGAATCAATCAAACCTTTGAGTCATGTAATCATCAAGTATTTGAGCATTTCTGGTACTCTGCTTCATGCCATTAGCAGGGTCTGTGTGTAGCACTGTTGTTTTCCTATATTCCTTTTCTGTCAGTTGATGAAACAGCAAAAGGAAACAAAGAGTGATTGGGGTCTTTGTCCAGTTTGACTGTTAAGATTCCGTATGTGCTAGACAATGCAGTAGGCAATGACATGGCTGCTGATGGCTGTTATAACACAGGGAACTGGAGGAGTTTCTGATGGAATTACTGGAGTGTCCATTTTCTTGAATTCCCCAAGTGTTGGTTGGGGTGGTGTGGGTCTGCTGGGTAGGGACATACTTCCTCTCTTCTCTTAGCATAGTTTTTGTTAGGTAGAATAGATGCCCTGTTGGCAAGATTATCATTCTGTGGGCTGGGGATGTGGCTCAAGTGGTAGCGCGCTCACCTGGCATGCGTGCGGCCCAGGTTTGATCCTCAGCACCACATACAGACAAAGATGTTGTGTCCACCGAAAACTTAAAAATAAA